TGCCCATGATCTCTGAAGCTGGGCTGTCCTTTAACCTCATACAGACAGGTAGGGGCTGCTGGGGTATGGTGGGGAGAGATATTCCTGGACCTTCTGGAGGGGTGAGGCAGGATGAGGCGGCTTCTTGGCTAACCTTTTTGTCTGCTTAGAACGACAGAACCATGCCCGTGAACTGGTGCAGGGGTTGAGCCTAAGTGAGTGGGAAGGCATTGTCACTGTCTCTGGAGATGGGCTGCTTTATGAGGTAGAGCCACAGATAACCTCACCCTCCCTGGGGGTGGGGTGGGGGGTGGGATGGACGACTAGAGAGGGTGGTGAGTACCCAGGCAGCCCTCTCCCTACTGCAGGTATTGAACGGGCTCCTTGATCGGCCAGATTGGGAAGATGCTGTGCGGATGCCCATTGGGGTCCTCCCCTGCGGTTCCGGCAATGCACTAGCTGGGGCAGTTAACCACTATGGCGGGTATGTTGACTGCTTTTGCTGACACAGCAGGGATACCTGCTAAAGAGAGGGATGAGTCTTTGGGACTACAGGGTCTTGTAATATTTTGTCATCCTGCCCCCTCTTCCCTTTACCCAATAGCTAGATCTGTGCCTGACCCACAGAAGGCCTTTTAAGGGTGCTTATGGAGAACTTGGGGATATGTTCCCTGGTGGCATTGCTGCTCATACCATCCTTTCTCTCTGCTGTGTCTCACCCTGCCCCCTCCATTGCTCTTTCCTCTCTGGCTGTGAAGATTTGAGCCTGCTGTCGGTGTTGACCTGCTGCTCAACTGTTCGCTGCTTCTCTGCCGCGGTGGCAGCCAGCCTCTGGACCTGCTCTCCGTCACGCTAGCCTCAGGATCCCGCTGTTTTTCCTTCCTGTCAGTGGCCTGGGGATTCTTGTCAGATGTAGACATCCACAGCGAGCGTTTCAGGGCCCTGGGCAGCGCTAGATTCACCTTAGGTGCAGCACTAGGCCTGGCCACATTGCATACCTACCGCGGACGCCTCTCCTACCTCCCTGCTACCACAGAGCCAGTCTTGCCCATCCCAGGTCCCAGCCTGCCACGAGCCAAGTCAGAACTAGCTTTGGCCCCAGCCCCCGCCCCTACC